GCTAAGAGATGTCCACCTTAAGTTACTAATGGCACTTGGGAGTTTATCTGACCCATCCATCAATGAACAGCATACGTTCAGTCGTAGCTGAAGTGTTTAAACAGACGATTGTAAGAGTAGAGCAGGTTGTGTCGCGGGATCCAAATCGGTATCAGACCGCGGCAAGTCGGGCCAGGGGGGAAGGATTGCAAGGCGCCTCGCGGCTTCGGGATGCGACGCCGCCGGAGCGGATGGCGCGTCCCATCGCCGGCCCCATCTCGCCACTGCCCCCCGCCCGCCCCCCCCCCCGCCCCCCCCGAGCTCCCCGACAGACTCCGCCCAGTCTCCCGCCCCCCCCCGCGTCCCCCGCCCCACGCTCCCCGGCGCCCGCCCCACGGCCCTTCCCCCCCGGGCCCCACACCCCTCCCGCTCCCCCCGGTCCCCGACCCCCCGCATCCCCCACGGGGGCCCCCACCTCCCCCGCTTCCTCCCGGCCCCCGCCCCCCCACTCCCGCCACTCGCCCCACCGGGCCGCGCGCGCGTTCCCCCGCTCCACGCCCCCGCACCCGTCCCCCGCGCTCGCCGCGCTCGATCGCCACGCTCCCTCGCCCCCCGGCCCCACCGCCCGTGGATGAGTGTAGGGACGCGCGAAACGGAGCGTGGACGGTGCCGCTGAAAAACATCGCTTGCGCGCACGTTCCGTTTGTGCTGCGAATTTGTCACTGCGATGTGCCCTACCTCAGAGATTCCTAGTTGTCTCATTATCAAGCTGTTTTATTTTGTTAGAAACGACCCGACGCTTTAAACAAGGGTACGATCTGGCGGATATGTTTAACGAATTGTATTTAAATATCCGTTAAAAGTATTAAATTATATTTTTCGTTAATTTAGCAGAGGCATTCATAAAAAGGATGAAATGACATTCTGCTGTGTAATTTGGTTTTGTTAATATTTGTGTTGTTAGTTCACTTTGAATTAAATATTATTTCCGCACAACTCAATAAACATTGTCAATCCATTCCAATATTTAAATGTAACAGTCCAACGAGCATATAATTTATTTCACTTTTAGAATTCAGTTATTAGTTCAGTAATAGTACTTACTTGAAGTACGCAAGGCTGCAACTTTACAGATTTTTTTCTTATTCAAATAATAATACTAAATTCTCAAACTTTCTTTTGTACGACTTTAGTCTCTGAATTTTGTATGACTCGATCTTAATCGTTTATATCGCGCAAAATCATATACTAACCAACTGTTCTACATCCATAAATCAGCTACAGGAAATTTCTGTGATGTACAGAATTCACGGTATGAAATGATAGAATTTACAAGAACCGTTTTGAAAGAAACAGGTTCACATTGTTACATCAATCACTTTACCATATCATAAAGCTAGATCACTCTTCAAGTAAATCACAGAGGTAAAGGATATTACTGCTATTCGAATAGACGTTCTTGTCGATGTTCATTCACATGAAAGTAGATAATCCAAATGTCGCGAACGACATTGAAAAGTTGTCAGACAAGTATTGTAATGAATGTCCATCAAATACATGTTCTACATATCTGGATAACGCACCGACGTACACAAGTTTTTTGTATTTTATCTTACGCAACAAGTTGTACTATTAGGTTACAACGATCGACAAGTCTCTACCTTGAGCTATATCTTTTTGTGGCATAATCATTTACTAGAAGTTGTTCGAGAGCTTTTCAATGAAGTTCTGCAAAGGGAACTTCTTGAATGGAATAACAAAACAAGAATTTCTCGGAATTATGTCCCCATTGCTTTGCCTTGCTATTCATGCAGTCGGATTGAGTAACCGAGCACATATATTTAATCAGAAAACAAAAGGTGGACTTTCAAAGGTTAGTGTACAATCCTACACAATCCACCGGCTGCCGCGGGTTCACTGTGTTAATAGAAAACCTTAAAGACCATACATTACTCTATCATCTTTGGACAGCCGAATCTAAACATTATCATACTGTTCAGAATCTTTCCATCTGGAACATAAAACAATCAACTGTTTATTTTTCTTTCTTCTGACAATTGTTTCGCGTATTCTTCTTTTATGTACGCCTGACAACTTAAATATATTGAGGAGTTCGCATCTCTCCTCTTTATTCCAAGCGTCGTAGGGGTGGAGATAAATGCGACTGCTCTGCAGTGACATAATACGATGCGGTGGCGGCGACGCGCGGCGAGGCTGGTCAGGACAGGGGAAAAGAAGGTATCGCCCTCGCACCATATCTTTTTTTTGTGTGTATCAAGTGCTATACCTGGGGTCATTTCGGACCCCAAGCTTTTCTGACAATTGGAAGAGGTATATATGAATATGTTCGACAACTTTCCGGGTGTAAATAATTGATTTTATATAAGAATACCCTACATAAGTTATTTTCAATAATGTAATAAATATTTATATATACGGAAGCCACAAAAACGACTACTTAAGTAGTTATTTCATTAGTAATGCCAACGATAACTCACCACAACACCTAATATATATATATATATATATATATATATATATATATATATATATATATATATGAGTTTGTGGAAGTTATATCGAGATAAATAAAATATCCGACGAACATTAACGGTGTCAGATACATTTATTTAAGTTCATGACAGTATGTTTGATATGAGAATGGGAAAATTACAAACTATACCTTAGGTCAAGCTGGTGTCATGAAACGAAAAATATTTATAACACTCTAATAATATTTGGAAAAGCCGATCCGATGTGCTAGTTTGCTAAGGCAGTAGTGTCGTAGCGATCTCAGACCGCGGGTTCGAGTCCCACCTCAGGCATGGTTGTGTTGTCTCTGTATGTTTGTGTGTGTCTATTTCATCATTCGTCATCAATAAAATTTCATCCCATCTCCCAAGTATAACAACCCAGGGGTATAAAAATTGAATCAGCTATGAAATGATTCCCCCCTGTAGAGAAAGTAACGTGCATCTACCCCGATAATCAAGTCTGAGCCCCTGCGGGATGCACGTATCACGTGGCCCCATGATGATCAATTCGCAAATTAAAAAATTATCTGCAATTTTCCTGCATAATATTCAGGAAATAATTAAAAATTAATGGTCGTGAGGTTACAAAAGACCCCAGATAGGGTAAGAGGGTTAAGAAGGAAGACGCGTGTAGGTGACGTGGTTGTGGAGGATGCGTGGATAGCGAGGGCACCTGTGAACGCGAAGCACTGGCGCGGCCGGACCGCCTCGCCGCGCCGATGGTCGCGCAGGCAGGTTGAGTGCGCAGTGGCTCCCATGCGGGTCACGTGGCAGCGCGTGCACGAAATCTGGTCACGATGCGTGGTGTACGGTCTCATATGCGCGTGGCGGAGTAAGCGGCGGGTCGCAGATCAAGGCAGTACGCACCTCTCGCCGGTCAGGCGAATTGCGCTCGTGGTCTGTGATGTCCTTGGTGAAGAATGCAAGAGTGAAATATAATGATTTCATGTGGCTAATGAGTCACTATAGGAATGTAATAGCAAATTTTCATTATTTAGAACTGCCTATAATATTAAAAATGTCTTTTTCTTATCTAGACTTCACAGCATCGAATACTAACCGATCACATTATTATTTATTTATACATCTTTTTACGAGTAATTCAGCTGCTCTGCCCTATGCATTCTTTTAATGAATTCATTGTTTTTCACTTCCATGTTTTTTAATTAAATAAATGAGTTACTACAGAAACTCCACAGCAAAAGCCTGAAAGTTGTTACCAGCATTTTATTCACAATATTGTATAATTCAGATTTGTATTATTTTTTCCTGTAAAGGTTATTGGACGTAAAATGCAGAAATTTATGATTTATTTCTCATTAAATGTAATTTACATAATTAATTTATTGAAATATTTGTATAAAATGTATTGTAATTTCTAATATACCTTCATTCATGTCTAATGAAAACACCTTTTATTGAAACTAGTTGTTTGCATAAACAAAAATGATGTTTTTGAGTGTGTCAACAAAGGGGTCTAAGAAAAGCAAAAATTGACTGATCTGAAACGGCACAAGAGAATACTGAAGCTTTTTTTCTCCGTCACATGATGTCTTCTGAGTTGTAAGCAGTGATGATGATTATGATATCATAGCGGTAACATCAGGTATGTGAAATTACGAATTAATAAAACGAAATATTTTCATTTCAGTCAAACTCAAAACTAGTCAGAGGCTGCTTAGTTTCTCGTCAATTTACGCGTATATATTCGATATTAGTAATATTGAAACGTTTGAAATGCCAACATTGCACCACGAATAAACTAATATCATCTGATTTACGACAAGGTTTCACGTATTCCATCTAAATTAATATATTGTCGAATATCTGCATTAGGAGTTCTAGATACTTTGATATTTTGTTTTCAGTGCTAAAAATGTGGGTAATGCAATTTTATAAAAATGTAGAGGGCGCATCGTGCGATTGTGTTGACTGCCATTTAACCACCTCTTAAACAAAGAAGCATTGCACAGTGTGTTCCGGACGTCATCTGAAAGACGCGTATTTTTGATTTTTAGACATATAGTGAGATTTGTAAAAAGTAAGATATGACATATTTTTAGATTGCGTTGATGACTATGAGGTGCAGCTTAGAACAAAATGTACGTAATGTAGACTAAGGAATATATCGACAAAATTACGATGACGACCATGAAAGGAGAGAAAATTTTAATTAGTTTCTGGCAACTTCAGAAATGTAGACATCAGAGTTGCCGATGAAGATGAAATTAAATTGACGATAGAAGGTGAGAATGAAATCAGATTATCCTGCACGTGACCTGGCTCTAAAGAATTCTCACAATGAAACAAACGCTTTTACACAACTCAGTCATTACCAACAGCTCTTAAAACAGACAAATGAACTATTTGATATTATTAAGCCATGGAGCGTTTTTTCGTGAGTATCACCATACCAGATAGTACAAATACTCACTCCAATATATTAGCAACAGATGGTATTTCTGATAGCTTTCTTTTCATTTTCAGATCTTCAGCTGTATTACTTGGGCTGATTTTCCAGTCAGGTAAGTAGTATATCTTATACAATTATAAGAGTGTTCAACAATTCTATGACACATTTTTCACAGTATTTTATTGAATAATGTGGCCGAATTTTGAAACTTTCTAAACCTCATCTGTCATAATTTTGACCATGTATTATTATTATTATTATTATTATTATTATTATTATTATTTACTCCAAACTAAATTGTTCATAACCGTAATAGAAGTCTTAGATATTTTTTTCTTACACAATTATCAATCTGTGAATTATAAACTGAATTATACAAAGGAAAAACATTTGGCTTAATTTTCGTCTTCGATTGCAGAACAAATAATTGAAACACCTGTACGTTAAAGTAGGATTTCAGCTCACAGCTTTGCAGTTCCCGCAATGGGGCGACTCTTCAACTATCTGCCCCCACCAGGGCGGCGGACAAGTTAAATAATACATCGATGAAATCTGTTTTTCGCACAATGGCGCGGCGCGCACAGCGAGGCAGGTGGCGGCGTCTTCAGGCGCTGTCAAGGCGCGGCCGCGACTGCTTTTGTTTGCGCTTGTTTATTTTGTATCGTTCATATTCAACTGTTCGCCCAAAGAAAGCAAACCGCTGTCGGCAGAAGGTCGTTTAAGAATGCTGTATTGCTCTGGCAGTGGGAGGGTACTTCACGTGTCCTGGGATGCGAGCACATTTCCCTGTGGAGAGAGGCCCGTTGTACACATGGGAACTCCGCCCTTTCATTCTACGTAGCATCACGACCTCGCTCTACTCGTAACTCTGCGTGTTGTACAAGTTCACCTAAAATGGGATGAGGTTCCTGGGAAAAAGAAATTAATATTTTGATTTATAACGTGTTCGAAAGCTGTCAGTGAGTTGTTGAAGTCTTCAATAACGAAATTATAATCACACAAAAATATTAGCGAATATTGTAGCTCATTCAGGAAGGATCTAGAGATCAAGGCTATTTATTGTAGGGAAGGTAAAATAATTCAAAACAATATAATAATTCGAACTAATTACATTCTGGTCCGTTTACTATGTTGTTAAACATCAATATTTCTCTGGATTTTTTAGAAATTACAAGAAATGTACTAAGAGACTAGAGTTGCTAGAATTATCATTCAATTACTATCTTCTTGTACATACATTTCGAAACCTCAAAGAGTGTTCCGCCTTCAAAATGCCTAATCTCAAAACGTGAATGTATTTCATATTTCATATTTTCATTTGGCGCATTCAAAAACAAATAGGTGTGATGGTGTTTTCTTTCATTTAAAGCAATTAGATTTCTTTAGTAATTTTGAAATTTATTTATTGCCTAAGAGCATATTTTATGACAAATTGGTTCCATTTTCTTAACTTTTGACCTTTAAATTGTCTCATTTCAAAATAATGTTGTTCTGCAAACTATTGTATTGTAATAGTACTACAATGCAATGGTATGTTTTTATCTAACTTTATCCCACTTGATTTACCGTTTTTCTGTTTTCACTGAAGGAAAAGTACGCTTTCAACCTAAAGACTACACTTTATTTTGATTTCAAAAGTTCGTGGAACAATAAACATCTAACGATAAAAAGGTAACTGTGCACGGTTTTCCCGCGATTCTGCGGATTCATGTATGTTATAATTTATACGAAATTAAAAATTGGCCCTCGTGTAGCGGCTCTTGTAAATGACTAACTTCGCTTGGGCGCATGCGCGTGAATCTCTGTAATCTTTTCACTTGGGTGATCGAGTAGAACTGGGTCCGGGTGCAGAACGTACATTCACAACTAACTGAACTTTTCCTGCCCACTCCGGCCGTGAACGTACCGTTAATGTGAAAATGACTCTCATTGATTCCCAGCGAGCGGAACTGCGGCGGGTGCGCTTCTTCCTTTCGCAGACTCCGCGCTTTGGCGGCAGGAGCGCTAGCTACAGACGTTGAGGCAAACATGGCCGCAGGATACATTCTTGTTTCCTATTTCTGAACTGTGTGTAAAGAATAACTCGTGCCTAGTGATATATAAATAGTGTGATTTAATGACATTACTGATATTAATGTGTGTTGTAAATGTACCCTCGCTATCAGTAATTGTCATATCTGAGAAACACCTTACAAGATATTGACTTCCAAGTTATTGACTTCCACGTTATTGACTTCCAAGTTATAAGAATAACTTCTTGCATTGCATACGATTGTTAAATGTTGGCTTAAGTGTTGGTATTGTTCACTTATAATAGACTTCTCAAATGTGTATAGGTTGTATTATTTTTTGCAAATTGCACGATTATTAATGGAATTATATACCATTAAAGAAGTGACTCATGATTTATTTTTCTAATGCTATTAATTAAATAATTAGATAGATACAGTTATATTTAATTTTATTTTGATTAATGGTTATTCATATTGTCAAATAGTACATGGCACTTTGTGGTTAAGCATTTAGTAGCGTAGCATTTAAGATATTTTATAATATATTTAAAACCTCATTTATTAATTACATCAATAAAAGGGTATTGTAAGAAATCTTCCGTCTGAAATAAAGGTGCTCAACATCTCGCTACACCTTTGCGTTGTACCGTCAGATATTCTCAGCTCGTTATCGATGACGAAGTCTTATTCCTATTCTCATTAATGGTCGAATCGATCATCAATTGAAGAGGTCGAGACAACGTAACGGTAACCCGTATTTCATGTTACATCCAAAATATTGATATTCGAATTTCATGTTGTTTTTTCTTGGCGAACTGTATACATAGATTTCAAAACAAATTATGAAATTAAAATAATCGTAAATGAGCACAATATGTGGCATCTTGTATATAACTTAATATTATAATTGTAAGTAAGTGTAAGTAAAGTAAGTCAGAAAAACTACAATAACACATATGTTTCGGATTTAACTTAAGACGTAGTAGTAGACGAAAGAGGTTTTGATATATTTTCAATGATTACTGAGTTTCATTGAGAAGAATGTAATTATCCCCGAAATCCTGGATGGATTACAAATAGCTTCTCTTACTCAGCGATATTGCGCTATTAATGCGCTATTGCATTTGAAAGACATGTAATTAAGGTTGCATAGTACTAACTGGTGATACAGTGACAAGACTCACTGCGGAGGAGAACGTGAAAAGAATCGCGCCCATTGTGTCAGTGCCAGTGTTCTGACAACTAATTTAGAAGATATCATGTAACAAAAATAGTTATTACATATCCATCGTAAAATATTAATTTAGTTTATAATGTCACATAGTGTGATGTTCTTTCCCTCTTAGTGTGATCCAAGACATAACCGCTTCACAAATAAATTAAGGTTAGCCAACAAATTACAAGCTGCAGAGTGCCTAATATTTGTAAAAATTGATGAATAATGAATTTAATCATTTCCCGTTGAGAAATTGACTAAGAGGTCAGATTCTTAGGCGCAGCTCGGATCCTCTTCTTTTTTCATTGAGTTTACAGCGTTCACGCATTTGGCGCCTCGGCAACCAGTCTCTCTAAAACAAAGGTTTTACTATAGAAGTTACTGCTTATCCCTACAACTCAGTCATGCAATTTAAACGAGTTATTATCAAAATTATTACCATTGGGATACCAGAAACATGCAGACACAATATCAAATTCTCTTCTAGAAGATTTGCCCTCGCCACATACAGTTCACTACATAAAATAAAAATCACTACTAGTAAATGTAAGGCGTTACACTGAATGTTATCGATATTTATGAAGTCTCCGAGCAAGTGTCCACATTACATTGTAAAAATACCAAGTCACATATAATAGAAGAAAGGATCTGGGAAACGAAATCAGTAACCGGAATTGAAAGCGGTACCGTTGTAATAAAAATTCGGAAAGTTAATGTGAGCAATAGAGCTAGGGTCGAGTAGGGGCGTGGACACACTTGCAAGCATATTCACACGAGGCCTTCAGGCGTTAAATCGGCCTCCACCTGGCGGCCTGTGCCCCCAGACGCCGCTCTCCAGTCCCCCTCACAACTGACCGGCGCGCAGTGGGAACTACACCTCATCTACACGAACAAATGCTACATTTCAGTCTCCTACATTAGTTTTTTGACAGGCAAGCGCATTTAGAAATTAAATTAGTGCATTTCAGGATCACGTATAATTGTGTGTATCACACAAATAGTGTTCAAGCGCTTTGTTGGTTTTGGCTACAATTTTTTCTATCATTTTTAACAGGTTTAAATACAAAACCGTGACTATATTGACAGTTACTGACTTCAATTAGTGACTGCTATTAAAACAGTATATTGATTTTCTTCCTCGAAACATGCGACTTTTTTAATGAAAATCTTGAATACATACGTGAACCAAAATTTGTACTCAACCCTTATCTTCAATAATACACTAAAATATCCAAATTTTTATAACATGGATTTAGAAACAGAAGAAAAAGTTCATTTTAGTAATGAGATGAAGAAATAAATATTTTAAGCTGTTGTCAAGATTGTATCCAAGAATTCATGGGTAACCTCACGGTGTAAGATACACAATGATACTTTATTTGACATGTTAAGAAAAGAAATTGTAGACAAAATGACTTCTAGCTACTTAAGAATCTAAAGAAATGTATTCTTAATCAAAATAAATTTTTTTATTAGCAAGATGATAGTAATATCTGTGGCTTGGTGCAAGAAGTGTCAATGTCAGGTTCTAGTGATTTTCGTTTTGTATGCCCAATGAGTGCTTTAAAGCCCCTTGTAGCAAGAAAGGCCAGTCAAAAGTCGATTTAATCTCCTGATTTTACTACAAATCTTTACTGTCGCGAGTTGCGGGGGAGAGGGAGGACCCCACAAACTCGTGCAGGAACAAAAGAGAGTATATTTTAAATAAGTTTATTCACTTACCCGCGTAGTGACCCTACGTCCTGGGAATGGGTGGCATGGCTCCGGCTGGCTCCGGTAGGTGGACGTGTAATAAGAGGGGCGAGGTGCGAAGTCCTCGCCATTTTATAGCCTCGGAACGCTGGCGTCGGCAAATGACAACTGGTCACTTGCCGACGGCAGCGT